CTCGTGTGTGTTTGCTTGACACACTTACTTCTACGCTTCGTTCTCGAACTTCACAATCGCCACTCCCGCTCGTTGCCTTGTTGCATTGCCGGTCCCCTGGTGGACTGTCCGGGCTATCTGTATTGATGTGGCCACACTGGGCAGCAATCTGTTGGTAAATGAGCAATGCAACAGAAATGGAGCTGGAAAGAAAGAAGTCTGCAAGTTAGAATGAGGGGAGGTCAGAGTTACGGTTCAATGCTCTCCTGGGATGCAGAGGCGACTGAGATTAAATGCATTTGGGCACAGTGATGGAGGGGCTTCTTCCTTCTCTTTTGCTTGATTTCCTGATTTCTTTTTGCCTGTGTTTAAATTGAAGACAGTAGTTTAATTAGAAGTCACTCTCTCCTGCCAAAGATTCACAGTAACTGAAGACAAAGACGACATTTATCCAAGAAGGGGCTACAGCACAGCTAACTGCTCTGTCCAGCATGACAGGAAGTCATTGGTATCCGTTGCATTTCTGCTACTTATACAAATTAAATAGAAGTACAGTAGTCCCTCGATTATCACGGGGGTTGCATTTTGGACCCCCACAATAAATGAAAAACCGCAAAATAGGAACACTATTTATTTTAGTATTTATATGTTTTAAGGCTTTATAAACCCTTCCCACACTCTTGCAATGTTCGAAAATCTTAAACCTATGTAATTTTAACAACATACATATATGTACTGTTAGGCCTGTCACAATAACAAGTTTCCTGGGCGATTGTCTCAGAAATTAGTGCGATAAATGATATTGTTTGAAATTTGACAGTAATTAGTAATTATTGACAAATTTAAGAAGAAATGTTGGTAAATTTTTGTGTGTCGTTGTAAAGCTCAAGAGGCGCAATTGTACATTGAAAGCAAAAATTCCTAGTTAAATCAAACGCACTGAGACTTGGACGGTCGATTTGGTTAGCAGAAATACCTGATCTTGACCTTTTGCAAAGCACAGCTGAAGACGGGAGTGTTGCAATGATCCGATAGCTCTGCTGTGGGCCCCTCATCAGTGTTTTTTACATCACGAGCTAATTTAAAGGTGTTCTGTTGTTGCTCTTCTGCTTCGGGGGCAAACCGCGTAACTTCAAAGTTCATGTCGGCGTGGCTCATTATTTTAATTTTATGACAAGACACATAAACAAACAAGGGTTCAAACGGTGAGCTGTTATTCCGAAGTGCTTGTAAATGAGCGTTTACATTCAAATGTCTCTTTTAAAAGTCATTTGCAAGCTTTTTCTGGCAAATTTGCAATAATAAGATTCAGAGACTAACCTTTTCTGTTAAGTACCTCTGAGGCTACATCAGCTGTAGCTCATTTCCAGCAATTTAATAAATCCAATTAATATATTTTGTGCACCAGGGCTGGAAATACAGCCTTCCCCCTTTTTTCTTTTTCTTTTTGAGTTACAGAGAAGCACAAACTGGATATCCTAGCTCCTCTTTCTGTGATAGTCTATTCACGGTGCATGGATGTTTACGCCACTGCCAGCGTCCACTAAATGCTCATTAATTTCATCCCTTCGTGGCAAAATCATTTCAAGGAGAGGCAATTCAGCCTCCTGTTCCTTTCAATTCAGCGCTCACGTCAATCAAGCCCTCCTGCAGGATCCTGCGGAATGGAGGTGTTATATTGCTGCAATTATCATGTCATATACTCGAAAATGTAAATGAACGTGTGTGTAAAATTAAATTTATGGGTTGTCAGTGAAGAATAAGAACCAGGAGAGCAATTACTTATCTGCTTTCATCTTGGAGCCTCTGATACGTCAAGCAGAAAAGCATGCAGTTAAATGCTGGAATTAGCATTGTGTTGCACTTCACAGTGGATGTGGGCCACTGCCTTTGCTTTTTCTTTTCCTCTTTTCCTCTCCTGGTGATTATCACTCATTTGGTAAGAAGCCATTGATGGCAAAAAGCAACTTTTGGAATATTTTCTGTTCATTTTTGCTCGGTATTTATTGAGCGTTGCTAAAATCCTGTATTATTCATGCACAGATACCTGACTTTGAATGCCTACATTTCACCACCCACACAACACACAATGTACGATTTATATTTAATTCCACTTTACATATGTATGCGCATATATTAGTGGTAAATCCTACGTAGGTTTGCGCGCATCCTTTTTGTGGCCCTAAACATCTTTGACCCTTCCCCCAATTAATGGCCTAAACGTGTGCATCTCTCGTATTGTTTCTTCTTCTATTGTAATGGCATCTAACACAAAACCAGGAGTGACTGCGAGGGTAATTTCTTACCTTAATGTGCCTTGAAGGGTTAATAACATTGAAGGTGTAAGCACAGCATTTGCATAATTACACACGGACTGTTTAATTTGCAACTTTTGACAGCTTTTGTTCGACGACTCGTTTATTGTGAATGCAATTTCTCTTGTCCGCTTGCATCGAGGAGCCTAAAGAAAGAAGAGATGCACCACAACATCCTCCGTCTCCTCCACCGTCGATGGAGTCCCTTCCCTCTAAGACCCTAATGAACAATGGAGGCAGGATTTGTTTGAATATGAATATGAATGTGCAGCGGGGCCGGCTGGAAGTTGACCTTCAGCTGTGATTTTCAGTTCATCAGGATTAGTCAAGGCGGGCGATCAGGAGCCACTAATGCATAATGACTTCTAAAATGAAAAATGTGTAGTGACCATGCAAATGTCTCAGCTAATCAAAGAGGGGGGAAAAAAAAAAACCTGGGGTGGGGGGTGGCGCGTTCGAGGAGAGGAGAGCTAAACAAGGACGTGTCAAGGCCTGACAGAGGGAGAGGAAGAGAGGGAAGGAGGGAGGAAGGAGAGACATGCATGGAAAGTAATCAAGCCAGCTTGATTAGCTGGCGATGAGGACAGGGATGTCTTATTGGCCCCTTGACACGCCATATAGGCTAGCTACTGTCATGGCAGCTGCAAGCCAAACACCATTGCAATTAGAATCAGTGAAGGTGTTCCACTGTTGATGTTTTAACTGTTGAATTACATCAAGCTGTCGGCAACATCCAGCTCTGATAACACCGTACTAGAACATTATCATGCCAAAAACTTTAAAAACTGATTAAGAACATTAAATTATAGTGTTTTTAAAGGTCATATAGAAGAGCACATCTAGTCGAGGTGTCTTCAGTGTTTTATCGCAGCCAGCAGACTAAATCATTCACTCAAGTTGATTTCCTTTTTCTACTAAATTGGTTTTATTTTTAAGCAGCTGTGAGCAACTAGAAGTCCACAATAAAGCAGGTAGCTCACACTCCCCCTCTTAGTTTGTGCACACAAACATCAGAAAAACCACATTGTTTTATTTTATTATTATTATTGATCTGTTGCCTCAGAAGTTGCGAACTGTGGTGCCTGAGAATTAAGAGGAAACACTTTGATTTGTATCTTTGTTGTTTTATGGTGAGGTTCATTTACTTACCTTGACAGTTTATATTTAGTTGATTATCGCCTGAAAATAGATAGATGGATAGATAGATGGACTGATAGATGATAGATGGATGGATGATAGATGGATAGATGATATATGGATGGATGATAGATGGATAGATTGATAGATGATAGATGGATGGAT